TGATATCGGTACGCATACAACGTTGATGCCGGTACGCATACAACGACAGATCTCTGTACACATACACGACGACTGGTCACAATCGACTCGTGAAGAAATGATCTCATCGAGAGCGCATGACGAACAGTTCGGGCGTAACGGTACTTCCGTTGCATTTGTACGGATTTACATTCTAGTCACGCCTAAAGAAGTTTTACTTCAAAAAACGAAAAAAAATTAAATAAATGTTATGCATTGCAAATACGAATTCTAATTCTCTGACATGTCCTTAAAGCTTTCTGAACATTTTTATATTTGAGAATATGAATTATTTTAATATAAAATAAAATCTCAATATAATTGACAATGGTCACTGATTTAAACGCATGACGTGTATACATGTCATTACACAAAATCTTCATGACGAATATATTCGTCAATCAAGCGATTAATCAAGTAAATAGTGTCTATTGGCGCTACCAAATTATAACTTTATTATCTTTTATATTATTTTATTATGCTATTTAGTGTTGTTTATATGAATGTAGTACCTTATTATTTTGAGATGATCCTCAACAACGCTCTTTATAAAATTATTTGCAGCAAAAGTATTACCATCATTTCTACAATTTGACGCCGTCTGTGCTTTCACCTTGTTGTTGCTCAACTTATATTGCAATAACCTAAATCTAATTGTCCCATATATAAACATTGATATCATAAAACAATTCAAATGTGACAACAGTAAAAAGTTTATGGACAACATATAAATGTAGAAGATAAAAAGTGTTATTCTATGCTCTTCTATTTCAAAGGGAAACCAATTTTCCATGCTGAGTGGATGAATTGGTTCTCCAGGCCTGAAAAATAAAATATAAATATATAATCTTCTAAACTAAATTTTGTATACTTCTTAAACCATCACCAAATTTTTAAATCAGTGTAGAATATATATTTTGGATGAATTTGAGCAAATTCTGGTTTTAGGGAGTATATTCAAAAGCATAAAAAATGATCAGATTCCCATGTATAAATTTCATCTGAATACTAAAGTTTTGTTAAGATTCAGAAGATTTCAATGTAATACAAGTGATGCAATTGTAGAAATTTGACAAGGAATACATTGGCTTGAAATTAACTCAATACTCATATGTTATAAATTAATCATAATTAGTAGAAATCCTTCAACCTCGACTTTATGATACATATATATATATATATATATATATATATATATATATATATATAGCATGATTTAATGTTTTTAAATTGGTAATCGCAAAAAATCGAAAATGAAAATGAAAATTGTTATATATCTTTACGTTTCAAAGGTTCCCGAACATTTTGGCATATCTTAGGAAAAATGGATGTATGTGTGTTTATATATATTTATATATATATATATATATATATATAATGTGTGTGAGCGTGTGTGCGGATACAATTTTTCGTCGACGATTTCTGGAATACGAATCAACCGATTTGAATAATTAAAAAAAACATTCGATTTGTATTGATAAGGAGGCGGACTGATCAGTTTTTGATAAAGGCAGGTCTAGCCTCTTTAAAGATACGGGGTAAAAAGTGCCAAAAATAATAATTGTTTTTTGAGAGAACCGAGCGTCGGATTTGTATCTCTCAAGAAACATTTTATTTGTATTGATGATATAAAGGACTGATGAAATTTTCGAAAAGGCAAGCCTAGCAATTTCGGAGATCCAATAAAAAAGTGAAAAAAACTACCAATTGGCGGACAAAAATGATCGTTAGACATATACGCATCAAATTATCACATATTTTATAGATATTTTAATAATAACAATTTTTGTTAACATTTTTATGGGTTCCGTACCAATGTTTATCCGTTATACAGCGACGTGGCGCCCACGTGCTTCCATATTTTATTTCTACGCAGCTAAGGTATCGCGATTGCTTTGAAAAAATGTTCAAAATTTCCAAAATACTTCAAATCATGAAAAAATTAATTTTCAAAAAGGTCTATTTTTATCAAAAATCGATTTTTTTGGGTTCTAAAAGAAAATTGTATCTTTTTTTAAAAAATAATACTTGGTATGGGAAGTTCCTGCAATTTGCCTTAAGGCACGATGCCATGAACTATTAGTTTCTGTTTGTTTGCTCAAACAATTTTTATAGGGTATGAAAGATTAAAAGCCAATAATAAAATTAAATTTGTAAAACATACCTGTTTATTACAAAAAAGTTCAGTGTGTGAGATATAACAAATAAAACACATGTTGATCCTATCGTCAATCGAACTGCTTGAAATATATTTGTAAACCTTTTAACACATGTCTCGATTATTAACTTTTCTTCAGAATCACCATTGTCATCATAAAATTTCATACAATCATGCATTCTGGTACATAAATCATTATATTGCTTTCTATATTTAATATATTTGAAGCTTCTTATATACAGCAATATTGTTAAAATAGTAGTTCCTCCATTTATAATCACCAAAGCCAAATCATTACGATTCTGATAAAGAAATATAAACTGCGCAATATTATAGAAAACATATATAGTCATGACCAAAGCACATATTAAATTTTTTAGTGATTTATTTTTTTCGTTTTGAAATCTTGTTAAACCTATATAGTTTAAAGCTTTCACAGAATGACGGAGTATTTTATTATTAAGTATGTCTTCATCCATTTTGTAAGGACAAAAGATACTTTGCTAATGCTTTATAAAACATTTTATAGCTGAATTTAGTACAACGAGGCAAGTGTTTTATGATAATTATTCTGTGTCCTCGATTATTAATACTCTTGAATATTTTATATTTGTTTGACACATCTACTAATTATTTCGCTGGCCAAGTTTTCTCATTTAATATTAACATAACACATGCATTACTATAATATTTTTGTTTGAAAGTTTTGCTAATTTCACTACCATATTTCATGTCCAGGTATACTTTACGAAACCAATTATTTGAATACATCAATTAAAGCACTAGTTAAGGAATTATCTTGGAAATATATATCAAGTATAATGACGCCCTTTATTAGGAAATCATTTAATATGATATGAAAGTGATGCATTTTCCCGTAGGGTAAGTTATAGTAATGGGCCATAAATAAAAAATGGAAATTTTTCCATATCTTTTTAACTTCCCATAGGGTAAGTTATAATAATGGGCCAAAAATAAAAAAGGAAAATTTTCCCATATATTTACGTTTCACAGATTTCTGAACATTTTGGCATACCTCAGAAACAATGAAAGCGTGTGTATGTATGTGTGAATACAATTTTTTGTCGGCGTTTTTAGGAGTACCACTCAACCGATTTAAATGATTGAAAAAACAATCGATTCCTACTAATGGGGATTAGTGCTGCCGTTTTTGGGAAAGGTCGGTCTAGTCGTTTCCGAGATACGAATCTAAATGTGTAACAAGTTGCAGTTTTTGAGAGAACTAAGCATCTGATTTGAATAATTTAAAAAACTTTCTGTGTGTGTTGACAAAACGATTGCGTTTGAAGAAGGAAATTTTTTTTGTTTCATTTTTTTTAATTTCCAAAAAAAAAAAATTTTCTTGAATATCGAAAATAATTGGGGTTTTAATTCTAATTCTAGCTAAAGTTCTAAACATCACTTATATACTTTAAATAATTATTTTTAACTTTGCAATTCAGTTTATGTAATTTTTATGAATATTAGTGCTTTATTTTAAATTTGATTAATAAAGTTTTGTTTGTTTAGTTTTCATTTAAACATACTTATATAAACGTCGTCGTCCAATTTATAAGCTCTTATATTTTTTTGTCTATAAAGTACGAATAATGAACGAAGTGGACAGTACTTATAATAATTTATTTGAAAACATTTAATACTTCTTGAATATTTTATTACGGTACGGGAAGTTCCAGCAATTTGCCTTAAGACACGAGATTAGTTATTGTTCATATTATACCAAAATTTAGTTTAATTTAATTTATTTAACCCTTGGCATCAATATGATAGAATTACCTATTTTCATAAAACTAAAGATCACAATTGAAAAAAATCGTTTTTTTTTAAATTATATATACCTATTAGAACACACTACCTACTACTGTGTACAAATATGAATCAGACTTTATTCAAAACTTTTGATCTCTTTATCAATTCTTCTAAATCCAGATTATATCCCTCAAAATATTCCTTCTCGGATCCAATGAAACTATGCCAATGCTTTTTCCAAGTTCCAAAAGTGTTTTATATTTTTTCTACTGTTTGGAGAATAGTTAGAAGTCACACAGTACTAAATCCGGATTTTGGTTAAATTTTAGCGAAATTGTCATGAAGAACAAGTACAGTGTACGCGGTGGTACGTTGTTATACAAAACTGTGTTGAATAACCCATTTGATATTCAGACCATATCAGCAACTTCTTCAATAGTCAGTCGATATTTCAGCAACAATTCTTTGGTTTTTAGATTCATAGTTTGACTTCAACGTTGTCTTCATCAGTAGTTGCGCTCTCGACCGCGCTCTCGACCTTCTTTGAACACTTTGTGCGAATCAAAAACGCATGCTCTTAATATTGACTTCTCACCAAAGGCCTTCTGAAACGCATTCTGTAGATTTCGGTTGCTGATATTTTATTTCTCTCATAAGCTACTTCTTTGTTGAATAATTTCAGACATTTTAAAAATCGAAAAAGCAAAGTTTTTAATGCGAACAAAAACGTAACAATTACATCAATTGATTGATTGATTGATTGAATTGATGTAAAATTTGACACAAATCTCAATCAAAGTATTACTTACTTGAAAATAAAAACGTTCGCCGTAATTGATGAACCTGCAAAGTTTAAATTGAAATTTCTTACTTATATTTGTACACAGAATTATATACTTAATGAAAATAAGTATAGAATGTAATTAAAACTATATTATATAAATGACTTTTCTACAATAACTTAAGTCACTTTTTAACAGTAATTCAAGAATAATTTCATTGACTTAACTTTTAATCTTGCTAATTTATACTTATTACAAATTATTTTTTATAGGTATGAACTATGTAACCAGGTGCAGGAGCAAATTTGATCCAAATTGGCAAGTCGTTCCAAAGTGAGTACAACATTTATGTTTATCTATTTTTTATGATTAATGTTTCATAGATCTGAAACAAAACATGTATTACATTAAACACAATCTATGAAAATCACTATTGAAACACGGTTTAACATACCTTTCAGATTGTTTTTTCACATTTGGTTTACTTGTCTCACAACGGTGAAAACAGCATAAGCAACGCGCAAAATCTAATATTAATAAAGATCAGTAGATGATAATTATCTAACATAATCAATATTTTGCATGAATGATATAACCAAAATGCAAATAATCCAATTAATTTTTTGTCTAATCTGCATTATCCAAAAGAACCATTTTTTCTCAAGTGTCTAAATTTTCTTATGTACTAAATTGCTTATTAGTATCCTAATATTGGTAATCAAATTTATAAAAAAGAATGTGGTTTGGCAGTTATGTTATAATACAAAATAATGTAGGATAGTCATAAAAAAGATCAGGATTAGGAGAAAGTTTGATACTAATAAGTATCAAATATTAGTCAAATATTATACGTATAAACAACTGTTCAATATTATTGACCATTTTCAAGACCTCACGTGCAAAAATGTTAGATGATAATATATTTTTAATACCGTTATGAATGTTTCCAAATTTATGGGATATAATCCAGCCCGAAACACGAATTCTTTCTGCGATCTCTGAATAATTAACAATATTGCTTTTCGATACGAAGGATTTGCTTCAGTCCAGTGAGAATCATAAGCTGCATTAGCTACTTCCAAACCCTTCCAAAAAAATAAAACTAATATTATTATCACCATTGATTAACTTAATAATAATTTTATTTACTATAACGAATTATTTTTGATAAATCAATATTTTATTTAATACCAATAAATAATATGAGTTATTACCTCGAGTGATGTTTCGGTGGCGAACCAGTAATACCAAAGTGCCAGCATAAATACTGATATAAAATATCCCATAGTCATCATAAATTCTACACTTAAAAGTGAAAGCTATAAATTAAAGAAATAATTAAATGCGGTAATTTAAATATTCATCAAAAATATGGTGTTCTTTCAAATTTTCTTACAACACTGGCCATAGCAGCTTGTCCACATAATAGTATAGCATATAATAAAAAGTCAATTGCCATAGGAAATTTTACTGTTTTCATAAAATCATCCAGGAATCTGAAAATAATTATAGATATGAAAAAATATTGAAATTTGAATACAAATAAGAAAATAATATATTTGAAGTCATAAAAAAAATAAATAGAAAAATAAAGACATGTATGATACTATATTTAGTATATTTTAGCAATAAACTCTGCTCTTTCATACTGTCGTTCCAAATCTGAAACTGTCTTTCAAGCTTTTATATATGTCTTTTAATTAAAAATTTTGTAATAAATCCAGATTTTTTAAAGCGATTCAGAACGTTTTAAAAAGTTGTAAACAGTATTATTTTATAGGTAAATTTCCATGTTTAACTTGATACAAAATCTTCCCAGACATAAGTTCCAATAAATCGCATGCAAAAATTTAAAAAAAATAATTAAGCAAATAATTAAGCATCCAAAGCAAATTTCAACTTTTAAATTATTCTCTATAGGAATAATTACCTTATGATTTCTAAATGTTCTTCAATACAACTTACAACGAATTTGTCTTCTATATGTTTCATCGAATATTTCTGGTTGTTAAATATTTTCGTAATGTATGATTTTGAATTTCGCAATTTATTTTGGAGTATTTGTAATCTGCACGAAGAGTACATGAACATAGATACCATTAGTCCATTTAAATTTGTTAAGGATAAATAATTTCCAAGAAGTATGTATAAATAAAAAATATACATAGTGATTCTGTGCTCCTCTAGAGGAAATGGCAACCAATTTTCCATGGAAAGCGGGTGAATCCTTCCTCCTGGCCTTAAAAGATAAATATTAAACATTCTTAGAATATTATTCTCTAATATATATGGACTGTTTATGCACAAAATACATTTTTATTATTTTTCTAAAAAATTATTTAAAAATATTTTTATTAATGTTTTTAACGATTTTATTAAACTACGCCAGTTCTAGATTTATTTTTGAGATCCAAACTTATATGAATTAGTTACATTCAATATTGAAAAGTAATAGATCATATCATAAATATAAATATATCATATTTAGTAATATATGCTAACAGTAAATAAATGTCTAACTTAATTGGTTTTATTGTTACATCAATTCTTTCTAAAAATATAGTTTTTTACTTTTTACCATATGTAGCATATAATTCTTCATTTTTTTCAAAATTTTCGTAGAGTCGTAGATTTCTTATATAAATTATAATGTTGAAATATATAGCACAATAGAGGTATAACAAATATAATAACTTATAATTTATATTTTTATTTCATATTATTCATATTAATATTATATTACTTTTTCCTTACTTGTGCAATATGAAGAAATTCAGAGTAAGAGATGTTACAAACAAAACACAAGTTATTCCAATACTAGTCCGGATTATCCAAAGAACATCCTCAAATTTCTTGGCAAATTTTTCAATTATCGCATTTTCATCACCATTACCATTCATTTCATAATATTTCATTCCTGCATGCATTCTGGTACACAAATCATCAAATTGCTTTCTGTATACTTTATAGTTGAAACCTTTTAAATAAATTGTTATTGTTAGAAACGCAGTTGAACCATTTACTGTTACCATATAGAAATCTTTTCGATTAACAAAAAGGAATATAAACTCAGCAATATTGTAGAGAACATATATCAGTAATATAATATAAGAAGTTAATTTTTTTATAATTTTGTAATCGTCGTTTTTGAATTGTGCGAAGCCCATGTAATTCAAAGCTTTAATAGGGCTTCGCAAGATTTTATTATTTTTAATATCTTCGTCCATTTTCAGTAAAATGATTGGAATGTACTAAAGTATGTAAAAAAACAATTTATATATGCACTTAAATATTCCACGCAAAACAATAGGAAAATTAGTTGCCCTAATTAAGTCGGATATTGTTTCTTGCAAATAATATTTTTCTCAATAATGTCTCTAGGTAATTTTCTTCATATTATATATATATATATATATATATATATATATATATATATATATAAAGCAATTGAAATATACTTATTATCCACAAATCAGTAATTTTAAATAAGTGCAAATTTGCATATGTGTAATGCAGTTTTATCTGAGAAATGATTCAATGTTCAAAATTTTGGTATACATATATGTTATATTGGTAAATATTAAATATGAGTTCTTCAAGCATACCAGCTTGAATTTTTTTTCACAATCGTCAAAATGCCTTTGTAGTTTGTAGCAGAAGAACTCCAATTTGACTTTTGAACAAAAATAACACATATCAAACTAACATATAAATGTTCAGCCAAATACCTGTTTCATCATTATAAAACTGTTTTTCTACTATTTTTCAAAAATTTGTTACATGGTCTTTTTCACCCCAAAGGCTGGGTAAAATGGTACAGTTAGTCGGCAAGGAGGTCTAATGGCATATTTATAATTTTAAAGGTATTTTACGAATTTTCAATTCAATTTCAATTTCAATTTTCAAAAAAAAAATCAAAGTTTAATATTTTTCTAGCTAAAGCTCACTAATATATTTCAAATAAATAATTTTAACTTTACATAAATATTAGACAATGTGCTTCTTTTTAAATTCGATTAATTAAGTTTTGTTTATTTACTTTTCTGAAAATATATATAAGTTGAAGTACTTATAATAATCTATTTGAAAACATTTAATATTGCTCGAATATTTTATTACGATACGGGAAGTTCCTGCATTTTGCCTTGAGGCACAATGCCATTCATCACTATTTTACTTTTTTATTCGCTATTTTTTATTTTCTACACAGTTACCAAGATACAAGTTCAGTTGGTCCTTTTACCCTACCCAAATATAATCTTTTATAGAGGTTATGTGAAAAAACTGTTAGTAAACTAAAGAAGAGCGCTTACAACAAAAAAGGAACTAACAATAGAAAATACTTTTTTATGGATTTTTAAACATTGCTATCTCTTAAAAGAGAGACTTCGTAAGAATCAAGGTGATGGCTGGTAATCGCTCCCTATTTTCAATATTATTGTTAAAAATTCCTAACATTACTTGTTTTTGGAATATCGGTGGTTGACATTTTCACCCGCAGACCTTCAAGCCCCGCTCTACCATATATTGACTGGAATCTTTTATGGAACTTTAATGAACGAATTAAATTTACAAGTTTCTGCTACATTAACTATTAATTAGTTTGCCTCAAATAACATAGATATTATCTACTATATGTCGCAGAAAATATAATCGATGTCAAAAGAACCGAGTGGGAAATGCACCGTATGAATACTCGAATATTAATTATCTAATTTGAATTTCAAACTCCATTAAACCTTGACGATCCTTCAAATAAAAGAGAAGAAAAAAATGATCCTCTTCAATATTTTCGGTGTATTCATTCCCATCCGAATATTATATCTGAATCACTTCGTTACGGAATCACTAAAACACAGATCTGCTTTTATGCAAACGCATTCGTTAAGGAGACAAGAAAAAATCATACCGCATGTCCCCTAAAAAATGTGACTCGTCTAAGCAATAAAAGAATAATTTAAACCTATAATCGCATCAAATTTATTAAGGTGAGGAATTAAAAAATAATGAATTCCTACGGCGGAGAGGGTGTTCAATGTTCTACGCAGTTGAGTGGTTTGTGAATGACATGGCGATTTTGGGGATGAGAATTTTGTGTCGATGTTTTAACTTAAATTTTTATAACAAATCTGTTAGATAGGGTGTTACAACTCGGTTGAAGAATACTTCTGACAAAATACGAAATCAAGGTTATAATCATTGTTACCTACGTAAAAAATATACCCATGAAATTTATATTGTGCTTTGGTTGAACAATGTACTTATTATAATGTTAAATCCTTTAAAATTAAAAACAATACATTGGACTTGCCTTATTTTTTCTCGCCGTCTTA